CTTATTCTGTACGTATTAGAAACTTTGTAGAGAATAATAGACGTTTTTGTTTCTTCTTCTCTTAAAAGATATTTCAGATTTCAGACTGTGGCCTCCGACAGAAGGTCCCTAGGCTTTTCTGTGCTTCAGTCCAGACAGTATTCTCACACAAAGACCCTCAAGGTGTGGCAAATAAACATGACAAAATAAAATTATATTACCGACGTTAAAACAAATACAAAGTGCATAAAAAATACAACTGGCCATAAAGCTAAATCAGTGTGTGCCCTAACCACCGTTTCCCTGCAGGAAGACAGTGACAGTGTGAACGTGTGTGAAAGTTCCTCGTGTCCAGGCTGCTCTTTGATTTTTATTTCACTTTCCACTGCAAACAATCCGTCTTTCCAAAGGAATGGATCAGACGTAGAGATGAGATCACTGCTGTCGTGGTCAACTCAGGGTTAATCTGTCATGATTTTAATAAAGAACTCTATCATTTATATTTTTTTTTGGGAAATGTATTAGATGACTGACAGCTGCTCGACGTGTGTCACGAGGCGCCGACCGATGTTTGTGACACAATCCTGTCATATTTCAAAATAAAACATCTTTCATTCTGACACTTAATATAAAATGAAAATAAGTTATTTTTGTATTTTCTCTGCGGCCTCGTTTTAATTGACCCAGGCTGCGTACCAGTCAGCGCCCCTGTGTTTGGGTACCTCGGGCCTGAGAGATTGTTGATCTCTGTTTAACACAATTTTTGTCCCACATTCCCTAAAATCAGCCCCACACTTGTTTACTGTCTGATGTTTGTTAGGAAATGTTGCGTGTCATGAATCTGTAGCACAAAAGAACCAGCGTTTTGTTTATGGTGATTCATGCCCTTTTTTCTTGACCTCTGAACGGTACATTCAAAGTTGCATCACTGTTGATCTAAGGCAGAGGTGGCAAACATACAGCCCTGTAGGGTGTTCAGTCTGGAAATAAAAAAAATACACAAACACAACATGTTCAGGATATTTTTTTGTAAAATTAAATTTTATTAAATATGAATTTATTTATTATATATAAATATTATATTATGTTATGACTTGTTATTTATAGTTAATTATGTTATGATCGAACTTGTCCCGCCCACTTGACACCTAATTAGGTCGTATGCGGCCCGTGAACCAGAATCAGTCTGACACCCCTGACCTAAGAGCATATATTTTAATAGTAGAAATATGCAGCTTTAGGTAAACAGACAACCAGTGTATGGGCTGCATTTTAATCACCCAGATGATGTGGGTTTTTTTCTGCAGACAAGTGTTCTCATTTACTACCTGGCACATTCACTATTATAAAAATAATCTGCTGCACCTGGCTTTCAAAACAATGGCAGAGGCCACTCTGAGCTCAGACTCTGGGCCTGGATAATAGATCTACTTCACCGCCTCTCTGTCGCTGCAGACATTTGTTCTGCCCGTGTTACAAAGGTTTGTTGTGAAGCTGACCTTTTTTTTTGTACAAGATAATAAAAGATATGAGTTTGTGAAGCAGACTGGAGGAGAATTTAGGTCGCACACTGACGCCCGCTACAGCTGCGATACCATGACTTGTCCAGACCCATGGGCAACGGAGGTGTTGCGATCTGGTTTTGTGCATCTGCAAAACACACAGTGTCTGAGAGGGAAATCTGAGGGCAATCAGATGAGGAGACTTGAAGGACCCATGTGAAATGAAAGCCAAAAATAAGCCACGCAGGAGGCAGCGGTACAGCTGTGGAGCAGCGCCGAGATGACACCGACAAATAGAGATGTTTTCCTCCCATGCCGACTCCTGTGCAGGAAGCAGGGGATAAAGTTGTCCGGCCGCTGTCTCTGATTTCTCACACAGACGCAGGATTGACAGGTGCTTCCTGTCACACCAGGTCCATTTCTGAGCGTTAATGACGTGCATGCTGTACTTGTGCGTACTTGTTATATCTGCGGTACTTCATGCGGCTCTCAGACTCCTTTCTTAGTAAACACAGTTGGGTTGTCACGTGGCTAAAATGTGTTTAAACGCCCACACGTTCTCTGAAAAGAGATAAAAATGCTAAACCAACTTTAGAGATGATTTACTGCTTCTGTTACAGTCAGGACTGGGCTTCAGAAACTGGATTAAACAGAGGGTTCCTGTGCGGAGCACATATTTGTTGCCAGTCTTATTGAGTTCTGTCTGGTTGCAGCCAGTTTTTAATTGAACTAAGAATCAGACGCTTTCTATTCAAATCTATTGATTTGACCGAAACATTTACAATTCACGTGATTTACAATCAGTTCTTCCTAATTAGAAGGAGTAATTGGGATTTGGTTGATGGTACTTTATTTCACTGTCTGGCACAAACTTTCTGAGGTCATTCTGATCATTCTGGGTTTAGAGCCATCGTCATAGTGACATGTCATAACATAAATCGTGGCTGAATTTCTGTAGGCAGTGCAGTTGTCTTACATCTGGAGGTTTGTGGGTTTGTTGTCAGATATAAACAGCTGTAGTATAAAGCAGTGGTCCTCAACCCCCGGGCTGCAGACCGGCACCAGTCCGTGGGCCGCAGAGAAAGAATGCATAACTTTCTCTTCTTGCTGCATCCGTCTATGACTCACATGACACGATGTTAGCCTCGGTCACATGTCTTACGTACATCTGCCACCTTCTTAAAAGGTCTGCTGTGGCCTGTAATACGTAATACATTAGCACTAAATTAAAAACACCCAAGCTAGCAACATGTGAAGCTGAGAAAGGGATCATGACCTGGTGTAGAAGACCCTCCCATCCCCCCGAGACTTAGTCCATCCATCTCTACTCATGTTAAACCATCGTGTAACTGTCTCTATGACCACGCCCAACGTCCACTCAGTTCCACTGTTTAAACTCAGACTATGTCATTAATAGAAAGGTTGTAAATTCGTCAAATGACAGTCTGGATTTCTTTTTTGTTCCAAACAGTGGCTCGACAGAACACTGATCTGACAAACGCTCAAATTCCTGAAAAGATTAATGTCTTCAAATCTTCCTGTCATTGAAATTTGATCTGACTTTGATTTGTTCTGTTGAAGAAAGTGCACAGTAGACGTTAAGGGAATGAAAAAACCCAACAAACAGCAGGAAATGAGAGCTGTGCTGTTCTGCCACGACAGAGGCCATTAATATGAAACGTTGTACAGTCACAGAGTCCGTCTTTGATAGATACTGGTCGGACTTAGTCAAATGTTCACTCATTTAACATTTTACAGTTTTATCTGTGGATAAAAAAAATAAAAAAATTTTGGACCAAGTGAGCGAGCGATCACACCAACACAGTCCGAGTGAGCGAGCGATCACACCAACACAGTTTTTTTTTTTTGGACCGAGTGAGTGAGCGATCACACCAACACAGTTGAAATTATGTCTGACGGTGTAACACGACACAGGCTATTGGTTGTATTATGGAGCCGTACACCTCCAACTTTTACTTTTACTTATTGACTTAACAGCTGCTATTTATCCTCAGAGTCAAGCTACTGCCACCTACTGGTAGAGATTTTCCAGTTAATGTTTTAGTTCTTTCTTTTTACACTTTGTGATGAGTTTTGTATTTATCTGATGAGAACCTCACGCTCCCTCGGACACAAATGCCTGTATACACAAAATTCAACTTTTTTTATTTTATTTTTGACTTTTCTGTTTATTATCTGTTCTTCTTCCACGTGTCAGCTCCTGACAACATCGGGGCTCAGAGGTAAAAGCCGTACACACGGAAAGATTACTTTTGTAGGGAGAAATACCTGAGTCCTTGTTTTGTCATTTCTCAGAGGCTTAATCTTCCTGTCATCTTTAGTGTAAACGTTATCCTACTTTAATAGAACGTTCATATTTCTGGGTCCACAGTGCACACTCAGCAATGTCACATTTCTCAGTGAAATAACACTGCAGTCCAGACTCAGAAAAAAAAGTAACCTTGAAAGATTCGCTGTTATGTTAGAGTAAATACTAACGATTTTCAGTCGACTTATTAGTCAGAGAAATCCGGCCTTGAGTTCCAAGTGTCTGTCTGTCTGTGTGAAACATAATCCTTCCTCTCTGTGCTGTTCTTTTTAATATACGACGCCACGGCTCATGTTAGTGCAACTAACGTGAGACATAATACTTGACTAAAGCTTCTTTTTGCGTTCGCTGTGTCAACGTGAGACATAATAATTGACTAAAGCTTCTTTTTGCGTTCGCTCTCACCTTAACTGAGAGGCAGCAGCAGTGGCTGAGTTCTTGCTTGGACTGAATAGTTGTAGAATAGCAGGTGATGAAGAGCTGCAGAACTAACGTAACTGTGAAACAGGTCCCTTCAGGTTCTCAGCTCCACCACAACCTTTACGTTCTGAAATAAGTTTTACTAGTTTTTATGGCAATTCGTTTTAAGCCAGTAAAAGGTTATGTGATCAATAATTTTACTTAAACTTCGTATTTAGAGATCTAACAGATGAGCTTTTAAAAAAAAAAGATACTATAGTAGTACTTGAACCGTAACTCATTCGTCTTCTAGTGCTTTATCCTCTTCAGGGTTTTTTGGGGGACGTAACAAGGTCGTACACAGTGGAGAACCCGGAGCCACAGCTTGTACACAGTACAAACCATTTTGTTTTTGTTATATACAATATATGATCAAAATATTTTAAAATATGGTGTTTCCAGGCGACACGTTGATTACAGCTCTTTGAAGCTCTTATCAAAGTCAAATCTCTGATGTGGTCCTGACAGTGAAGCAGTTCGTCGTGATTGTCAGACAGACTGGAGTTCAACTTATGACAACGCATTAGTCAAGAGGAGCTTAAATAAAAATGGTTTGATGTGCAGTGATGTTTTTCTCCTCTCATCCTCCATGATATATATATTTTTCTTTTTTTTTTTAAACCGTCAACAGCGCTGGAGTGAAAGAAGCAGCAAACCAGGAGGCAAATAACAGTCATATTTACTGTAAGGTTTACACTCAGTGTAATAAAATGCTCATTTAGAATAGTTGTAAATGCCATTTTTTTATAATTTATTGTAACTCCAAACAAAAATAATTTCTACAAAAAATAGTCAAATAATGTCGTATGATATTAATATGTGGTATCTGTATCATCTTCTCTTTTTTTAGACTTCTGGTAAGTTAAATTCTCTTAAATTCTCCTGAATACTGTGTGAAGGTAAATCTTTGCTAAGTGTGGCAACAATCACTCATTCCTATAACAACCATAATAGTGACTTTTTTTTTTTTTTTTTTTTAATTCGCAGACCCCTGGATATTATAGAGTATGTATAATCTCAGCAACTGTTAGTGGGCACGTTAGATACAATGACTGGCAATATAAGTTTGTTTTTCTTTTTTAAAAAAGTAGCAGAAGTTGAATAAATGTAAAACCAAGTCTCTGGAGAAGAAATAAAACATGGTTGATATATTTATATGTGTATATATATATGTATGTATATATATACTGTAGGCCTCAGCAGCAGGATCTAGTGCACACCCTACTTTTCCACATTTGTCCTTCGTGACGACACGTCTCGTTTTTCTCACTGAGCCACACACACACACACACACACACACACACGTCGGTCTAACAGAGGCGACGTTCCTAAACGCAACGGAGGAAAAAAAAAAAAGAGAAAATAGTAAAAAGAAAGTTCTTTGTGGTTACAACAGCCATTTTCTTTGACGTGAAACAGTGGTGAGTTGAAGTGTTTTCTTAATGCGTTTTTTTGGTTTGATGCACGTTGTTGCTCCAGCTCAGGAATAAAGGGAACAGTGGTTGGTATCATCTCCTCCCCCTCGGTCTGAAGAGTCTTCCCCCGTTTGATATTTGAGTTTGTCGTTCTGTTGTCACCTGAGCACACACTCACTATCAGTACTGTCCTGTGAGGTGTGTGTATGTGTGTGTGTGTGTAATGTGTGTGTGAGTGGAAACAGTAAGTGTTTGCGTGAGTGTGTTTTCTTTTGCAAGTGCTAAAGTGTGTTTTCAGATTTAGGCGTTGTCATTGAAACGGCCCGACAAAGTCCATGGCCTACGCTTGACTCTCTCTCTCACACACACACACACGCACACACACGCACATTCACATCCACACACACACACTCCTTGCTATGAGGGGCAGTTTCCATGGCTCAGTGGAGGATTATCGTGGCCAGCAGGTTGGCTAGCAGAGTGCAGAGCAGCAGGCCGGCTGTAGAGATGTGCGGCGAAGAGGCAGCGTTGCAGTCTTTGCCCGCCTCGCAGCGGGAGTGTTGGCACAAGACCCCCTTAAACTCTGGAGGACATATGCACTTCTGGTTCTGGTAGCACGTTCCTCCGTTCTGGCACAGGAGCATCTCCTCATCGCAGATGTTGGCTGTGAGCAGAGATGAAGGCAGACAGAGGTGGGGGGGGGTTGGAGAGAAGTTGGAAAATATTAACAGTGCAGTAAAGTGAGATTGGGGGAGTAAAGTACAAATAAAAATGTACTGCGAGGTGAGAGACGGTTGGTTGAGGTAACGTTGGAAAAAGTACAGTGTGAAGCAGTGATTCAGGGGCAGGAGAAGAATCCAGGGCAGAAGAAGAAAGCAGAGGGAGAGGAGAGAGACGTGATAAATTCTCCACTCTCTGCCTCGGGGACAACAACAGGTAACACCTGGCTTTTTTTTAATTTATTTTTGCAGCCCCCTTTCTTTATCTCTTCTTCTGGAGCCTGCACTTTCTCAGGGTCATGTTGAAATCATTGTCCAACCCCCGGCAGACGGAACGCTGCACGTGTGATGTGTTAAGTAATGATTGTGGGAACAAATAGCGTCATTAAAATGCCATAAAAGGCATTAGGAAAAGCACAGAGGTAGTTGTGCTGCACAAGATGCTTGACCTAAAAATGTTCGGCGGGAAAATGGAGGATTCCGCAACAAGAAATAATTACATTCGATAGCATTTTTATCACAGCAAAGATAATTAGCCGTGCAGAGTAAGACGTCAAACCCACCATGCTGCTATAGACTACAACGTGTCCCATATTTAAATGAGTAAGGAGGCATTGGAAATGCATGGCTGCCTGTGGAGCTCTAATGTGCGTGTTTGTCTGCGTTGGTCGGATGGGACGTGTGAGACCGAGGGCCCAGAGTGTGTGCTGGATGGCAAAGAAAGGCGACTCCTCCTAATGGGGTCAAGGTGTGACAGGGTCATCAATTAGAGGAGCAGGTGATACTGCTAATGAGCTGCGTGATCTATTCTCTCAGGAGTAAACCAAACACTGGGAGATGTGCTAACAGAGGACTAGGAAGACCGGGACGTCTCTGGAACCCCGTGTTCTTTAGACGGAGATTCTCTGTCTCTGTACTTACGGTAACAGCCTTGTTTCCAGTAGAAGCCCGGCAGACAGTCGTCACATTTTGCCCCCGTGGCGCCTTCTTTACACTGGCAGTAGCCCGTGCTGTTACACCGGTCATGAACAGAACCCATCTGGTTGCAGTTACACTCTGGTGAGTAGGAATAAAGCAGAAGGAAAAAAAAAAGAGTTAAATCTACATATCGCAGTTTTTTTGGTTTGTAGTAAGATTCTAAGTTCATCACTAATTTTTGCGACTTATACTCAGGTGCGCCTTATATATTAAAATATATAATTTCACATGTTTGTTATTTACACACTGACAGCCGCTAGAGGGCACTCTAGGCTGGTGTACCAGTATCTGCTACTCCTGTACGTCGCATTTTTTTCCCTTCCTTTGGCTGGTGTGAGTCAGCGCAGATCAGATCGTTTTTTTCTGTCAATACTGTGATCTATTGGAATTCATCCAATGGTGCTGAGCATGTTGTCCATCTTTGGTCATGGTGGTATTTGTGCGTGGATGTGATCTAGTATCCCGGATGTATTCACATCTGCCGCAGGTGCAAAAAGTCCACCAGAGACTTTTTAGACAAACGACCGTGTTTATCAGACCGATAGTGAACCTATATTTTAACATGAATACTGTGGCGGTCACACAGAAAACTGCTGACTGGCACAGTGTTTATGTAAAGTTTGAAATGGTCCACATGGCTGCTGTTAAAAATATAAATACTGTGGGACGCTGGTGTTTAATGCTGCGTCATGGTTTTGGGTTCTGTTTCACTGCTGGAGCTCAGGATTCACGCAAGATTTTTTTCTGGTCATATTTTTTGGGTCACAATCAAGCAGTTGTTTTTTACAGGTCGAATGTTGTCTGTTTCATTTAGACTAGTTATTAATCAATAACCAGGTCAAGATGTAAAAGGTCGGTTAGTGATGTGGCAGGGGTTTCCAAAGTGGGGGATGAGTCCTGTTTATGGGGCATGGAGATTAAGAAATTAAGAATAGCTGTTTTTGTCGGACATTTAATACAGTTCAGTGTTTCGGAGCAATGAAAGTTTTGAATTTGTCAACATTTGGGGGCAGGACAGTAGTTCTGTGCTGCAGAGGCCCCCACCCTCCCAGCTCTAAAAAAAATTCAGCACTGAAAATCAATGAATGAATATTTAACCTAGATACTGAGTACAGAGCAGCCAATGGCAGCTCAGTATGTGTTCTTTGCGCCGTGAGCATAACAATGGCTGGAAAACTTTCTTCTTCTTGACAAAGTCAAATTTCAGTCACTGTCCTCCGTATTTCCAATGTTGGAGTTTGACTTCAAACAACTTTCTGCTGATTCATCGAACATTTTGTATCTTTGTGCTTTGATGTGGAAATATTTAGCGGCCATCTTTAAAGCTGACTCTCATGTGACCCAGTCCAGGTGGAACGTGACCTTCAGAGGTAAACCTCCCTACAGGCCTAAAGGCGGTTTTTCGTGAGCCGATTGTTTTGGCTCCCTTGTACAATTTGCGATCTTGAGTCAGTTGTAGTTGGTAACAGATGAGGGATTACAAACTGGCACAACAGCACTGTATTTGTCAGTTAACTGGCGTTGTGCGCCAGGCACTCATCCACATCTGAAAGAACAAAGATAAAATATTGATAATGTTGAAACAGGCCAAGATCAGACTGTCACAGCCGCATCCAGATGGTTGGTGTCTGTCTGTGTTTTTGGGTCTGAAACTGAGCCCCTTGGAGCAAATGTGTGTGCAAACACATCATCCAGTCAATCAGTGTGCTGCCAGATGAGCTAAAAGGACGTTTATTCTTTTTGTTTTTTTTGCTGACTCCAAGCCCTGTCCCAGTGCTTCCTCCACCATGGAGCGTTTACCCTCCAACCTCCTGCAGTTCATCTACAGATGGATCCAAATCCACACCAGGTTTTCACTCGACAGCTACCAGAACACAGTGACCTCTCACTGGGACACGGCCTTAACAAGCAGCGAGTGTGAAAAGTATAATAAGCAACGCAGCAGAAGTGTTGATCATCCTCACGTCCTGTACATTTGTCTGTGTTTGGATTCTGAGCTGCGTTGGATGATCAGGGTCACATGGTAATTTAGGGCTCGTCGCGTGCTTGTTGGTCTTCGCATTCATTTTAGATGGACAGGAATGACTGAGCTGTGGTCGAAGAGATCACGAAGATTCTATAGGGTAAGGGATGTCTGATAATATGTTTTTGCTGAAATCCGATATGCCGATATTATCCAAAACCTTTATTTCTGATTCCGATACACGAGTGATTTTAAGCATCAGGCCGATATTAAAATCAGGCCGATAATAAAATCGGATATTATCGGACATCCTTACTAAGGGGTCGACAGACCTTCAGTGTTATGTGAACCAGGTCTGGTTAACTTTATTACAATGGTTCTCAAACTATGGTACACATACCACTAGTAGTACATGAGGCCCTCTAGTGGTTGGTGGTGGAATCTAAGTCAGTTTGTTGTTAAAGACGACTCTTGTATATTGTTGTTTTTGGTCTTTGTGTGTGTGAGATATTTCCGATTTCTCTTGAATTAAAGTTTTAACTTAATCGCAAAGTGTGTCGTTGGTTGATACGTGGTCGGATAATCTTATTAGGAATACATTTCCTCCTTTTCATACTGCTCTTACCAGAACAGTGGAGGTCTGTGCTGCTGTATTTTAATGTTAATAATGCTGGAAGCGACAAATATTTTTGTCGGGACATGGAAAACAAATTTGAGAACCACTGCTTTATTAGATATAAAATAAATCAATAAACTCTTGTATCATCTTTTTCATAAGCAGCTCTTTAAAGTCACTGATTCTGTTTAACAGAAGGTTAGATGATACAAAACACGTTCCACCACAGCCACGCTGACTGTGGGACAGGAAAAGGACCATTTGTTTCCTTCAGAGCTATCAAAGACACTCGAACCCCCCCACCCCTCATCCTGGGGGGTAAGTACTTTGCTTACTTACAGAGCACCATTAGGCATTAACAAGCTCCATCTCACACAACTGCTCTGCACACACTCTCACTGTCTCCCCGCAGACTTACCGATACAGACGCTCTCATCATCCAGTTCAGCAGAGGCGTTTCGGAAGTAGCCCAGTCTGCAGTGTTGGCAGTTCTGACCCCTGGTGTTGTGCTTGCAGCTGACACACGTGACGATGTTCAGGTAGTCGATGTAGCTGCAGCGGTTGGAGTGGCCGTAGCACTCACAGTCTGGAACACAAGAGACACGTTGTTTAAAATAAAAAGCGTTTTTTTTTTTTTTTTTACCCCGGTGAAGCTCGATGTTCTCACAGGACTTTTCGGATGACGGCCAAAAAATGAAAAATGACTTTTACTTAGACTCAGTTTGAAAAGTGATAGTTTTAACTGTCAGCCACCAAATGAATGACTCTGGATGGGTTTTATGGCTTGCCGTTCTGACTCTATATTGGTTCAATAAAGACAGACCACTCCCTCTCCATTACTACACTCACAGGTTTGCTGAGTCTGCTTCACTGTGCTGCACTGATTACTGATGGGAATTCCACTACTGTTTTGTGTGTGTGTGTGTCTCGCTCTCTTTCTGTGTGTGTGTATGTATGCAGCACTAACATGTTAAATTTCCTTGGGACTTTGGAAACATGGCCAGATGAGTAGATTATGCGATATATATAACCGTGATCCTGGGAGTTGGAGGAACGTTCAGCAGTTTTCACCTCGGTTTTTCACAACAGTTTCCCAGACATTTAACCTGATTAGAGAAGCCTTTGCCGTATGTATAAAGTGCTGTGCAATCAGTGCCCGTTATTAAATTTTCTCTTTGGAATTTCATGAATTAACCGAGAGCAGAAACTTTACTTTACTCGTACTCGAGCAGTTCATAAATTAAGGCTTCTTTCAAGCTTTGAACCCGACGTCCGACTCCACCTCCGTCCTCCCCCCCTTAAGTTGAATTTTTCCTCAGTGGGTGAAATGAAAAAACCCGACGTCCTCCGCTGTAGGATCAGCCCGGCGTGGTGAGAGATCCAGGTGGAGCGGTTGTTGCTCTAGATCAGGGGTGTCAAACATACGGCCCGCGGGCCGTTTCCGACACCCCTGATCTAGATCCTCACGACGATTATCCTGGATAAGATTGCTGCCTAATCAAGGTTTTATTGAGACGTTGGCTGCCGTCATGAGCTGCAAGGCATCACTGTCCTCTTAAGTGGCGTTTACCAGGTATCTTTACGCAAATACACATTTAAATGCGCATTAAAAAGTCGGAGTTTAGCTGTTTAATCAGCCGTCGCATTATTGTTTTATTATTGTTTGGTTGATGATGCCAGCTGAAATATTAATGGGCTGGTTTTAAAGGAAGCCAACGCGCGGAGAACCATAAAATGCCTCTCTCAGCACTGAGGGAACTGTGCTAGCAGTGGGGGGAGAACTGGCTAATTAAATATAAATGGCAAATTACTCCACGGACTAGAGAGGCAATGGGACATTCCTCCACGAATTAATGTTATGAGTCAAGATGCTGGTTTATTGGTATTCATCAATTGTGAATTGTTAACAGTTAAAGAGGTTTTCTCAGTGAGGCGGAGAGGCAGCTGCCTCCGTCAAAGAGTCTGAGCGTGGTGAAATGATGACATAAACTGGAGACAATCATCCTTTCTGAAACGGTCGTTAAACAGAAATGTCAATGTCAACGTGTTCTACGCGTCGATACGACTTAATGTTCAAATACTTACCTTGAAGTGCATGAAAAAACAAAGATAGACAAAACAAATGAAAGCAGTCAAGGAGAGAAATGAGCAAAAAAAAAAAAAAATCAAAATAAATGTAAATGTGTAGTGAAAGGAGTTCTTCCACAGGTTTTATCCTGGATAAAAGCAACACTAGAAAAGGATCTAACGGTGGATCTAACCAAGCTTAGGATTCCTCTCTGTATCTACCAACCACACGCTGCTCATGTCGGTCTCTTACCTTTGAAATCATCGTATATGATCCCAAACAACTGTCTGGCCTGAGGCTCTCCTGAGATCAAGAGTTTCAGAAGCCCTTAAGGGATGAAGGAATCTCTGTGTAAGAGTCGTGGGCTCATCGCTCACTGCACCACATACTGTACACACCTCCACACAGACGGCAGCTAGGAAAAATACTCCACTCAAGACGGAACTTTATAGATCAGAAATGTAAAAGCATCGACGGAGGTTTTTTACATTAATGAAGGAATGAACGTTCGACATCAATTTTTAATCTACATTCACGGCGCACCACGTTTAAGTTAGACTGTCAAAAAGCTCAGTCCACTGGTTGTAGGATGTAAAATGCAAAAAAAATCTCTGCAGAAAATATTAGCGTTGAATGTCAATTATTGGGTCTTTAACCCACGTCTGGTTCAACGGCTACATATACCAACGAGACAAACATCCGTTCACACTCATGTGTTTATAATCATACGTGGAAAGTAAAAGATGAAGTAATTGTTGTGATGTTTGAGACTAACTACTGCTGTAAATTGTTGTCGTGACGACGAGGCCTCGACAGGGAAATTCTCTTCTTCTTTATAAACAGCCCAGAGAGCAGAACATATTTTGTAATCATTCTGTAAACAGCCTTTTTTTTACGCATGTTGACATAAAATTATGAATTTACTCAGAGGTTTAAAGTGGTTTACAAACTGAGGCACCCCTTACTCAATCCTCCTGTCTTGTTTTTATTTCTTGCCCCTCAGTATCTGTCAACTGCCTTACTTAGAAATACGGTGCTGCAGCGGGAACTTAAAGATAAAGATTTAGCATCGAAGCTCGTGTTGACTGACAGAAACAAACTCACGGACGTTTGTTTCTGTGTCACAAGGAAAGTTTTTTCACGACAGGGTTTTCCTGTGTAAACGCTGCCTCAGGTATGAACTATACCTCTTTTATCAGCCTTCCTTTTTTTGTGCTCCTCTTCCTCCTGCTCCTTATGTCCAGAAAATGTTGAGGCTTTGTGGCCATGAGGCCCACCTTCATGTTCCCAGAAATGATGGGACACTGACACACCACCGTAAATGAGTAAAAATATAAAGTCTGTTTAAATATACACTTTTGTTAGATTATAACTACTACTTCTGTCACAGTTATTTGTTTTGACAAAAAAAGTGCCAGAAATAAATAAAACATGGGTTCTTCAGTTTAGCTGTGCAGCTAAATCGATGCTAATAGCTCGGTTAGCTAGTTTCTTTTTGTAGCTACTTTATGCTGACGTTGCCAAAAGGAGGGCGATACTGGGGTTAGCTAGTTTCTTTTTTTGGAGGGCGATACTACTGGGAGCTAATCTATGAAAAGCAAAATGCGTTCACATTAAGATATTGAACAGATACCTTTTTTGTTTTCTGGCTTCTTTCCACTGTGTTCATGTGAGGTTGTGGTTTTATGGCTAAAAGTCTCAGGAGCATGACCTGGGGATTTAAGGTGGACTAAAACAGAAAGAAGCAACATTGAAAATATACTTTTTACTCAAGTCGTGAGTTTGTACTACTTCTATTCGTACTTGATGTTTCAGGTATTATTTCTCCTCGCTCCTCTTCGTGCTCATGTGAGGTTGTGGTTTTGTGTCCATGATGTAAGGGTTCCTCCGACTTAAGGTGGACTGACAACAATATTCATCAAAATAAGTGTCAGATGATACATTTTTACTGCAAGTCTACTGCTAAGTTTTGTTATTAGGATCATATGAAGTACCATGTGTATCTTCATGGTTCCCCTTCTGTTGTTGTCCATGGTTTGGGAATGTTTCATGACGGTGTTCTGATGAGGCTGTTGTTCTGTGGCTGTGTGTTTCGTGATGATGTTCTGATGGGGCTGTTCTGTGGTTGTGAGTTTCATGACCGTGTTCTGATGATGATGTTGTTCTGCGGTCGTGAGGTTTTTGACCAGATTCTGATGGGGTTGATGTTCCCTGGTTGTGAGTTTCATGACCGTGTTCTGATGAGGCTGTTGTTCTGTGGTCGTGGGTTTCGTGATGATGTCCTGATGAGGCTGTTGTTTTGTGGTCGTGTGTTTCATGTAGGTGATCCCCATGTTTGTGGGAGACTGAAACATTACCATCAAAGAAAATGATGGACATTGTATATAAATTGAATTAGTTTATAAGCAAGCATTTACCACTACTTTCATAAGAGTTACCTTTTCTTTCATGTGTTCTCTCTTCCTCGTGCCCTTTAGCAACTTGTACTTTGGGGTCATGTGACTCATGTTGCTCGGTCTTGTGGGACACTAAAACAGCACATCGTCATTTTGTGAATATTTAAAAACAACTTCTACACAAGCCAAACTAATTTCTGGTAATGCTAATTATGGATGTAAGATAAAATTTAATCTAATAAATAATTTCACTCTGCACTTTTTTATTATTATGATAATTCACGATAGAATGAATGGAATAAATATATTAAGTTTTCAACTCTTCATGCCGTTCATGCACGCTCACTCATGACAGCATACTTCTAGTCACAGCAAAACATGTTTAGCATGTGAGCTAAATATTGCTAACCTGGGCTAACACAACAGGTCTTCACTAATCTGGATGTTTTTGACCATGTTGGATGACAAAGAAACTAATGTAATTTGCAGTAACTTCCTGAAAAAGTTTTCTTTTTTCGAACACAAAAAATTGAAAGTAAAACATTTGCCTTAGCAAAGAAACTGAACTGAATGAGCACGAGGCAGCCACAGCCGCGGCAGTACCAGTTAGCACAGAGGCTAAAAACAAGACATTTAGCATAGATCTTCATACTAGATCAACAAAACATGTTGGCCGTTGTTGGTTACAGACAGTTGTCTCTTCACTAAGGCCGTCTTTGTCCTTCTCCACTTCTACTTTTCCCTCCTTAAGCATTGCTGAGATTTTTTCTAAGGTTATTAATAGAGAACTGTCAAGTTGAACTCATAGTGAATATCAGTCCTCAGTTTGTAAACTCTCCTGGAACTAAATTAGATCAGACTCCCTCCACCTCTGCCTCCTGTGTGACTCTCTTGCTCTGACAGACTTGTTTCATGGTCATTAGTCTTGTGTTCATGTCCCGTAGACTGGAGGGACACGGAAACTCCGTAGTTAATAAAGACCTTAAAAAATTAGGTTAACTGAATTATTAACTTTTAAGAACATCATTTCCACTTCATCTTTAACCTTGGTTTCTTACAGGTGGCAAATTAAATCAACTGACAGCTTATGGTGTTGATGAAGAGACAAATTCATATCAATGTTGTTTTCATTGCACAGTGTGTGTAAGGGGACCATTTCCACTGTAATGTGCCAAATTAAACTCCTGGTGGAGGTTTATCCACAGAGCAGCATCGGTATATGAATGTTTTAATTAATTCACACCTGACTTTTACAGCCCTCCTGAATCCAAACTAAAGCGCTGCATTCAATTCTCCCAGGAAAATTCCGACCACTACATGCAAAAGAGCTACCTCTGCTCTCGGCTTGTCCTCCCTCGTGTGTCTGTTGTCGGTGTCTCTTCTCTCCATGCTCCGATGACTCTGTGAGTTTGAGGCCATGTGCCTCATGTACATGCCCCTCAGACCCGTGGCGGGCTGACACACCGTGATTGTCGTGAATATAACAGAAGAGAGAAATCTGAGGTGAATTCTATTTCCTGCAGCTCCCCGTTGTCAGCCGTCTGCTGGCAGATTTGTAGTTTATCCTTGAATAAAAGATCCCTGCTTCACCCCACTGACCATGTCTGAAAACAATGTCTCCACTACATTTAGAGTGTACAACAGCCCTGCTCTCAGTAGACGTCGTGTACTGCTTCATGGAAGTCCAAACAACTGAGGTCACTTTACACCGCAGTGAGATACGTAGAAGTTCAAGGGCTGCGGAGGTTACTCCCCTTAATTATGCAGTTATTCATCTTATTATTATTATAATTAATATAAATATATCATATATATAATTGATATGTATAATATCAATAATACAAGGGATCCTTGACTTCTGTTGAAACTCACATATTGTACTCATGTCACTCACCTACATTAACACAGTAGCAACAACATAATCTAGGACATAAAAACATCAGAAGAGTCTGACTAACGCCTGGGAGCCATAATGAAGGGCAAAAAGTTCCTCCCAAAAAAACCAACACCAATGACAGAAAGTGAATGCTGCACAACCCAGCTATTGGTGTACAACCAGTGAATGTAAATAAAACCATCTTCCGCGTATAGCGCCACGTGACGATATATTCATCTGCTCGCCAACTAGTTAACTTATGAAAAGTTAGCGACGTTACCACTAAATGCTGTAAGTTAAGGATGTCGTAAACGGAGGAACACTGTACAATGTTTCTTGTTAGCTCTATATACACATAGAGAGTGACCAAACATTTATGCTAACATTTTGTTTTGCTTAATTAGTTTCTATTTTTTTTATTTTATATGAATTATAAAATGATTACTAAATCACACGCTAAGTCTGGATGGCTACAGTCAACTCTACTTCTACACAGCAGTTAGCAAACAGCTACCTCTTCCTTTACTGTGTCCGTGCTCCTGCTCCACTTCCTTTTCCTTTGTTGGTTCAGATGAGGGCGTTGTTGTGTGACTGTGATTCTCATGTAAACGCTCGACCGTCTTGTGATGATCTGGGACACCATTTTGTTCATTGACAGACAGAACGTTTGTTAAGTAAATAACTACTTTCACAGCCAGGTACCTGTGTTCTCAGCTGGTTTCTGGGTGTGGTCCAGTCCGTGCAGGGACGTCAGTGCTGCTTCCTGGTGATGGCTCTCGTGTCCCTCCAACGTGGTGGACACTAACTCGCCTGATAATCATTTAAATTTAAATTAACATTTAACTGAGGAGTTAATTCTCCCAGGGATTTACAGTCAGGTACTTTTGGAACATAAGCTAAAGGTGGCTAAAGCTAACAATAGTTTCCAGCCTGTACCTTTTCCATCATGGTGTCTGTCTTCATCCTGTTCTGTTCTTTTGTCATCTGCCTCAGATGAGGTTAAAGTTTTGTGCCCATTTTCCTCATGTGCGCCTCCTTCAGATGTGTGGTGGTCTGACACCAAAATTGATATTAGTATGACAGCCTAAAAAACGATTTTTTTGGGGGGTGGGTGGGGGATTCCTAGTCTACAACAACAACAACAAAAAAAAGATACCTTTAGTTTCCCTTTGTGTTTCCTTATGTTGTTGCTCTTTACTGTGGTCAGCAGAAGTTATTGTGTGGTGATGATTTTCATGGCCATGTCCGTCAAAGTCCAGGGAGACTAAGGCCCCACAGTCAACATGGACATAGATGGTAATACAGTTAAAACACCTGCTAGCTAAATACGCACGTTTTGTCCACTAGTCTGTAGCTACAGTCAGAAAATCCTACAGCCAACATCACTAAGATGACCTACTGACCTTTCACCAAAGGGTATCTACGATCAAGTACATTCAAAACATTAAGTACAAGAGGCAAAAGGTCAAAGTACTTCAATGTACTAGCAGTAATACTACTACCTTTCATACTTCAAAGTACTAGCAGTAATACCACTACCTTTCATTTCCTGGTGTCTGTCTTCGTGCTGCTCTGTTCTTATGACATCTTCCCCCGATGAGGGTGAATTATTACGATCATCGTTCTCATGTTTGCCTCCCTCAGATGTGTGGAGGTCTGACGCCGAGAATTTCGTCATTATGACGACCAAAAAATTAGGGCATTTATTTGAAACTTCGAGCATAAAAACAATACCTATCTTTTCTTCATGTGTTTCCTGAGGAAGCTGCACCTCACCGTGTTCAGCAGAAGTCACCTCGTGGTGACGGTGGACATGGAGGGAGACTAACACACCGAAGTCAACGTTGACATAAACAATGATACTCTGCCAAAGATATGGTCGTATTGACCACTACATCATAACTACTGCAGTCTACAGCCGACATTACTACGATGAAGCCACTACCTGTACCCTGAGTACTCCCACCTCTGTGATCCTCCTTCCTTTCCTCCCCCAGCTCGGATGAAGATTTATGGCCATGATTGTTCTGCGCACCTGCCTGAGACTCTTGGTGCTCTGACACACAAACACATTGTAAAATGTATTCAACATATAAATATATCTCATATTTTTTAACGATCAAAATACTAAACTAACTCCCTGTCTTTTGAGCTACGTTGTCTTCATGGAGGCGCTCCTCTCTCTGCTCTGACCGCGGTCCAGTTTTGTGGCCGTGACTCTCATGCAAATGTCCTCCAAAATTGTTGGAGTCTGATGCAGTATAATTTTAATAGACAGCAAAAACGAATAAATGCAGGATTTTTTTTCTTCTATTTTTAGGAGTAGTGGAGCCACTGGGGTATTACTACAGTAAGTACTAGCTTCATAATTGAGATAGTATAAACCTTTTCTCATCCAGACATCAAACCTGTCGTGGACTAACAAATAAATAACAACCGTTTGAAATGATTTTTACGTGACCTTCTTAACAAGCGTAGCTCTGTGAGAACAACATATCTGTCGATCTAAAGCAGGGGTTGCCAAACCTTAAAAGCACACACACACACACACACACACACACACACTCAGTGCCAAGGACTTCTGACAGGCTGTATCCTTGACAGTGGTTGAAGTATACAAGGTACATTAATTTGAAAAAACAAAGGGCAACATGTCACGAGGAATCCTGTGGTGCTGTAAATTAACTCGCTGCAAGTGATGCTGTTGCTAATTTATCATAATCACCCTGGGGGTCGGGTGGGGACAGGGGAAATCATGAAGGTGGTGAATTGTGGAAGTCCAGAGTTACCTGGTGTGAGAACCACGGGATCATCAGCAGCTGGAGTAAAACAGTTATTTAAAGAAGAGACCTGTGATTTTAGCTCCTCCCTCTTTTTCCTCACCATGCTGTGAAATGGATTTTGTTTTGTGGCTATGACGCTCATGTTCGTGTCCTTCCAGCTTAAGATGATCTGACATATCAAAACGGTCAAGAAAAAAAAAAATCTTTATAATTTAACAACAATTATAATGTGGGGAGGAAATGTCATAAATCTGACATATTGGAAATTGAATTCAAAAATTCAGGAAAAAATATATATAATTTGAAAATTTTATATATAAATAAAATTGGAAAATTTCACTTATTATTTAGAAATGTTTATATATCTATATATATATATATACACTATTTTCAGTTTTAACCTTGAATAAAACGACAAATAATTGTCTTTTTGCTGCAAACAATGAATGTTTTTCACGTATACGTTTCCTCCTATTTATGAGCCATACAAAATGTTTGAATGTATATTTAAACGACCGTGGTCAATAGTTATATAAAGATACCCAGGTCTTCTGGTTTCTCCTCTTTCTCATGGACGTTTATCGTCTCATGTCCTTCCACGTTGTGGGAGACTGGAATACCGTTATTATCACGGTTACCGAGAAAATCTAGTAAATTTAATTAAAGGAATACTTGGTGCAGTGTCAACACTACCTGTGTGTACTGCAACTACTCCCTTCTCCTCCTCCGCTCCTCCTTCCCATCGTTTGGTTGAGACTGTGGTGTCATGAACACGTGTCTCAGTGAGGTCCTGGTCCTCAGACTGGTGGGCGTCTGTGAAACCACAGTCGTCATTGGTTTAACAACGGTTCAAATGTACTCTTTTCACTGAGTGCTTCATCATCCTTTGTACGTTAAGGCTGCGGGGGCTTCAGAGATTTTCCCAGAATGACTGACAAATGATTATGTCAACAGTTCTGTTGAGACAGAAACGTATCTCACTGTTCTGCAGCTCTCGTCGTTCACTGTCAGCTATCAGATTTAACATTTGCATATTTACTGATACAACAGGGGAAATACAGGATGGAGGTCCAGCAGGACATCGTTTCCTTAGGAAATATCTTATCTCCTTCCTGTTCATCATTTTCTCTCCTCCTCCTCCTCCTCCTCCTCTGTTCTTTTTGTACAGTTGTTCAGTGAGTCTTACAGCACAAAGGTATTTGACAGAACTGCAGATGACAGTCACGCCACAGTGGTTATCAACAGATCAAAGCATCGAATGACTCAACTTCCACACTCCTACTTCATCCATCTGAGTCGTAGGGACCTGGCTGTGCTCCCGCTGCAGCGGTAAAGATTACTAATCCTATAGTTGGCTTGACTTTCTTTTCTCTAGAATCTTGTTTTTCCTTCCGCTCCAGCAGGGGTCTCAGCCCTGGACTTGGAGAAAAGGCTGTGAAAGTAAGAGAGGCTCTAAAATGTTCCTCGCCACACGTCTCCCTCTGGGTGTGAAAAGGAATGACATCTGCTGCCTTTTTCATCTGAATTTCATAAAATTATCTGAGTGGTTTTTGTTACTCGTCTTTGCTTTGGTGTTTCCTTCAGTAATGGGATGAAAGTGATCCGTCTGTGGTACATCCTATTTTTGGAACAGATTGTCACAACTGAGGCTTGTTCCTTCATCAGGGGTCACCGCAGTCGTCTGCATCAGGATTTGGCACAGTTTCCAAGTCGGATGCTGCTAAGGCAACTGATGCAACCTTATTTTGGCTGGGAGTTAGGGGGGTAGGAGTAGAGTCGAAGGAGGAGGATCTGTTGCTTGGCAAGCGAAACTTACCACTTGGCCATGAAACAAGATGTATTATTCAGTAAGCACGTTATTGTTAAATGTATCTGCAATATAGTGTAAATACAGAGCTCTGTCAAAGGCCCGTGTAAATTTAAGTCTAAACAAGTTTGGACCGGTGGGAATAATGTCCATTTGCAGTTGTAACTGATTCTTCAGGATCAATGACACACCCCAGGATCTTTCCTCACCTTTTTCATTTTGCAACTTCCTGATTCGTCAGGATCAATGACACGACCCAAGATCTTTCCTCACCTTTTTCATTTTGCAGTATTGTCAGGTGCATATTATTTCCTTAATTTCTTAAAGGGAACTTCTGAGGAATTATTAAAGTTCTATCCATCCATCCATCCATCCATCCATCCATCCATCTATCCATCCATCCATCCATCCATCCATCCATCCATCTTGTCTCTCTTGACCTCACACTTCACGAACGCTAACGTAGCAGTGAAAAGAAAATCCTCATTGGATGCAAAACACACCTAGCATACTGTAAATGATGCTAAACACCATTGTTCTAGCCAGTCAATTTCAACATCTACTCTGTCATGGTCCAATACAGGCCATGACACTCCCTAACATACCCCTACCTACTATCGTGTTACTTGATTTAGTTTCCACTAACTCAGTAAACCTGTCAAGTAGTTTAGGGCGCACACACACACACACACACACACACACACACACACACACACACACACCTGCATGGTGCACAGGCACCATTTTTTAATTGTCTCCCGCTAAAGTTTTTCTCTGACCATGACGTGCACGTCTTTGAGGGACGAGTGATGGCCGCGTCCTCGGGGACTCCTGCTCTGTGTGCGCGTCCATCTGTGTTTTCCCCGGAGGTGCTTCTGCAGTTGTTCATCTTCAGAGAGGGGCATCCTGCAACAAGCATCCTGCTCCCCTGCAGAGAGTCCCCCTTCAGGCTACATCCCGCCCACTCGCTCCCCTTCCTTCCCCCCCCCTCCTCCCAGGGGCTCCAGTGAGACAGGACGCCGGCAGCTGTTCTCACAGCTCACTGCACCCCCTTTCACACAACTGGCATCAGACCATCATTACATCTCATCAAAGTAACTCCTACCTACTTCAGCCCGTGTCCGACTTTTGCCCCGCTACACCTACTCTCCAACACCACACACATATGGTATGTTCTTGCACACACACACACACACACGTGTTCATCCACCCTGGTTAGAGAATCTTTCTAGTGGGAAAGCAGGATTTTGAATTCCGGTTGTTTCAAAGGCTGATGTAGCACAGCAGTGAACATAAATGCACTTAATCTCATTAATCCACGCTGCCTAGGGGGCAGCAGTGATGTGAACTGTTCTTGGCATTAATCTCAGTCAGCTCAGCCCAAACTGTCTGACATCTGACATTGGAAAACTGAGCGTTCACCGATCCCATGGTTCTACCCTGACTAAAGGAAAGGTGTGTGTGTGTGTGTGTGTGTGTAAGAGCGAGTCTGTTGGGCTTAGTAAACCTTGACAATGATTGAGCTCTTCATCTGCTGCCGTTACTAACGGAGCAGCGCCGTGCGTACCCCGGGAGAGGTGACCTCAAATAACATATGATCGTTTTATTTATATCGTCACCTCCTTTATATTGACTCTGTATTTGTAGCGTTCAGCAGTTAAAGTTTCAATCCAGTCCTGATTCTGTCTCGGCTGTTAGATCTCCACGTCTAACTCCTCACTGTGATGCTGCGCCGGTGACAAATATCTTTTGGTTTTTGTCTATGAATATTGCAAACACAGTGTCAGCTGATGCCAGACTTTCATTCCTGTGTGATCACTCTTGTCTTCCTCCAACCCCGGGCTGCCTCTCACTTACACACATTTACTAGATTTGCCCATCCCTCTATGAATTGAAAAAGTGTTTCTCACATGCCATTTGATGCCAAACTACCTAAAAAGATTATAGCTGCTGTAGAAGAGCATCTTAGTGACTTTAACCTCCTAAAAACGGTCCATTCCAACGGTTTCAATGCCGTAAAACAATCACTAACGACTGCGGAATTGAAAAATGATCAGATTTTGAATGAGCTTTTTCTACTTCCTAAGGATCTTCTAGTCTACGTCTACTGCCATCTAGAGCTGTTTGTCTGCACCTTACCTCCACTGTGGCCGTGCCTTGGCCTCAAGTGAATCTCTTCATTCTCCACCAGACTGCTGTGTTGGTGATTATAGGTCTGTGGATGGTCGATGAAGTCTGCACTGACTGGATCAAACAGATGTGAATGTTCGGCGATTATTTCTGTAAGTGTGATCTCCTCTGATGGCGAGGGAACGTCGTGCTCCTCAGGAGTGGCTGCTGGAGGTGGGAGGACCTCTGTTGTAACTAGCACTGTGTCAGGTTGTCCAATGTGTGCCGGCGACGGCGCCAACAAAAGGCTGCTGGGTAACCCTTTGTCTGTGAGTGGGGATGAGCTCTCTGTAACCCTGGTTCCTGCTGTTGAAGCTCTGGTGTCTGTTGCAACAGTTGCGTGAGGACACAGAATGTAAATGCAATGAGGAATGAGCAGGCGAAGAAGAACATTTGCATAAGAGATGCTGCCTCAGATTGTTTATCCAAAGTAAGCTGAGCATTTCTCTTTCTTTTTTTTTCCCTTTAAATGTGCACATACACACTCCAGCGTGCACTTCTCACACACAGAAGTGAGAACACAAAATGAAAGTGTGACTTCACACTGCTGAGATAGGCTAAACTCAAAAGCTGCTCCGCAACCCTTTCAGTGCTGGGATTTTTTTTTTCTTTTTTCTTTCTGCACAAGACAGTGACTTTTGAAGGTGTGACCGTTGTTTACGACGGGATCACACAGCACTTGTCAGTTACACTGTTGTACTGACACGGACAGAACTGTGTCTGAATGAGAGTTCATGGAGTCACTCGTGGACATTTGGTCTCAATAAATAAAAAAAACTTCCCAAAGGAAAAAAACTTGGTATTTTCATCACAGACGAACGATTACAATTTTTAATCTGAATAATCGCACAGTAGCTGGTAATTAATAAGCACTAATCATGATTAATCAAACAGACAAACAGATTGTCATTTATACACACTGTGAAAAACAGACAAACTGTTTCTCGCAATGTGTATAAATGTCAACCTGTTTATTTATATATATATTTGTTTATTGGAACAATGATAAGTTATAAGCTATAGTTAGCTTTAGTATAGTTTCAGAAATTAATTAGTTATTAATTCATAATTATTGCAATGACAAATGAATAAATAAGTAACATTTCTCTGTCTCATAGATCAGAAATTCAATAGTCAGAAATACTATATAACAGGATAGAAATGCATCTAGTTTTTTCTCTATATTTACTATACTATATTTCAGGATAGAAATGCATCTAGTTTTTTCTGACAGGATTTTAAACTCTGTTTTGGACTTTTTCAAACTGTCTGCTTTACCTCTTTGTTTGGACAGATGTT